GTGTGTGTGTGTGTGAGAGAGTGTGTGTGTGTGGCTTACGTGTTCAGGCTGCCGTAGACGCTTCCGCCCGTTCTCGCTGTAAACACTTTACTGAGCATCAGCTGTGAAGGAGATCTGGGAACAAACACACACACTTGATCAGCACAGACTGCTCATCACACACACCATCAGCTTGACATCCGTACGCTCTCACCTTATCTGGTGAATCTTCAGCGTTGAGCCTTTGTAGCTCATGGCCACTGAGCCGAACATCATTTCTCCGAGCATGTTAGCGTCTGATAAGCACCGTGAGGAGCCCTGATACAACGAAAGAAAGAGCAAAGCACACAGGTTTGAATCTGCAGGAGCAGCACACATGGGTGTGTGATATGCATCTTATCCAATGATACAGTAATTGTTGTTTTAACGATGTGAGAGCTGACTTTGATGAGCGTCACTGAGTTTGCACAAACCAAACAAAAGCACGTCTTGAGAGCATGCTTTCACTGAATGATCTGAAATTCAAGATATGAGGGCAAAAAATACTCCGTAGGAGTTATTATTTTATATTTCTATATGATATAGTTCAGCAATATCACGCGAACAGGAGTTCTGTTTTTTTTCTTAATAGTATCACTATCGCAAATGGTATTGATTTTATGCACCAGTTCAATAACATCAAGTTAATATTAAGTGATTTATATTTTAGACACTATTATCAATCTGTTTTTGATAAAGAAAATTTTAAATTTTTTACATTTTTTATTTATTAACCATCTAATTAAAGAAAGCACAATTCCAAGTGCAGCACACATGAAGTTGTTAACATGGTCTAAATGTAAAGCAAATCACTTGATAAATATACATGCAGAAAAGATGCATGAAATATGAAGGCACATATTGTACAAACTTGTCTTAAACATATATGTTCAGAAATATGAAAAACGCTTTTAAAAACTCAAAAGTCAAGGAAATTCAATTTCAAAATGGCTAAAAGTATAACACTAGTAGACTATTATTAAATGTTTTGTATAAACAATTTAACAGCAGCTTGTCTGTCACCATCATGCAAACATGAAATATCAGACACACAGTAGAAGCTCTTTATAGGTTTTTTTATTCCACTGAGCACCAAGTCGGATCAGTCTTTTCTCTTAACTGTTATAATTTGCATATTGTCAACGTGTCTAATTCTAACATTTGGTAATATTTCTATTAAAAAAAAATCGCGATTTCTCGATTTATAAAAAAAATAATAACAGTGGAAAAGCATTAAATTAGAATCGATAAAATCGGAAGAATTACCCAGGTTAAATAAAAGACTCAATGACTCGCTCTTTAAAACAGTGAACTGACGCCACCTACTGGCAGTTTTAATTTCATATTTAACATAACATTTTTTCAAAATGTTAATTTTAAAACATTAATCTCAAAGTATTGTTGTATTTGCTGTGTAAATAGATTTAATGCTTCAGATGCAGCTTGCAAAAATGGATTTTGTTGATACTGATTTTATTTGATTGGTAACAGTCTATAGCGTCTCATTATTTGAACTAAATATGGTTGCGATAAGATATGTTGCGATATATTGCGATACTGTAAGCAAGACGATATATTGGGATATTTCTTATTTTAGGAATAGGAGAATAGGATAGAATTTTAGGAAAACTGTCATTTAGAACACACCCCCATATGCAAACCTTAGCAAAAATAAAATCAATTTACATACATACATAATGTATGTATGTGACTGATCATGGGTCGAGAGGAGGGATGACCTACACGACCATGGTGGAGGATTTGCTACTCAACAGCTCATTGACAAATATCTTATATCGTAAGATGCGCTCCCTTTACTCAGAGTGCGCGTGATCGCGAAATCAAAAGTGAAAATGAACAGCGCGAGCGCTCATTCAAAAGAGATTTAAATACTCCCCATTGATAGCGGCTCCCTGATATGCGAAAATTATATGTAATATTAGAATGTTTGCGGGAGCGGGCGGGACTGGACAAACCTTGCAGAAACGGAACACAAGTTGTCACTGTTTAAGTTCAGAGGTAAGAAGAGTGCTATCTAGCAGTCAGGATATAAACTCAAAACGAAACAATGGCCAGGAATCTTGCATAGGCTACATTTATTTATTTTTTTAAATATTGATAATGCGTTTTTTAGAATCGATACAGTATCGGCAATGAAGAATATGAAGAGAGAGAGCGAAGGCTTGTGACGGGACTCACTTGGAAGCGGTTTTGTTCTTTGGGCTCGGAGGCGCAGGACGAGCTGCTGTCCAGGGAACTGGAGCTTCCGCCTGTAGGCCTCAGCTGACAACACTTCCCAAACATCTTCGCCTGTGCCTCTCCACACACCCTCTGCAAACAACACACGGACAAACTCAACAACCCAGCGCAGTCACTAAACCTAAGAAACACACCGGTTCGTCAAGAACAACATTCTGCAAAAAAGACATTTCAGGTGTATGATTGTCTGTAGTGTGAATGCAGCAGCACACAAAAGCGAATGCTGTTTTAAACAGTTAATGTTGAATCAATTGTCACTAATCATTATTTAAAGTTGCAAGGGGGAGAGTCTGGATTGAATGATGAGACATGACCGCAAAGCAAATAAACGTGCAAAAAGAAACAGCGAGACCAGTTTAATATGATCCACAATCAGATGACTCTTGTGTATGAGTCGTACTTTAAAGGAATCATTCAAAACGACTCTCAAACGCAGATTAGTCAGTCTGATTACTCATTCACTGAATCCAGAGCAGTTCCTGAATTAGTTCACTCATGAATGAATAATCTGTCGCACCTTCACGTCAATCCAAACACATTTAACACACTAAATGTTTTATTTTCATTTTTTAGTTTAGTGAATTTAACATTTGCTTTAACAGCATTATTTTAGTTTTTAGATTGTAATGTTACAATGTTAGAATGTAATGTGATTTTAACCCTTTTTTGCACATAATATATAGCTTAGCCTACATGGTTACATTCACTATATTTGTTTTCATAGCCTTTAATATGAATGAACATCGTTTCATTGGACAACGTTGGACAGGATGTGATTTTTTCCCCCTCTCATAAATATTTTTTTTCAATCCAAACAGAAAAAGTAGAATATAGAGATATATACCATATATAACACAATTCAGCCAAAAAAGATCAAGATATGTAGTCTTATTTGGCAATACTGCCCAGCCCTAGTCTTTGAACATTTTGAAGTTTTAGCTTTGTTTGCATGGACTTAACGGAGAGACATGTATCTCTTAACAGCCAAGCGTGCACATAAACACTTTTTTTGCATGCCGTTTAACTTCAACCCTTGTTGCGAGTCAATAAAGAGCGAAACCCTTCATATCTCTGTGAGGTGTTACATGAGACATCCAGCACTCGTCCAGATGAGGGAAAGGCCTGAGTTAATGAATGTTTTGGCTGTGCGTGCCAGGCTCAGTGTCTCTAATGGCTCATGCCGAGTCTCGTCCCGCTCTGTGAAGAGCACAAAGGAACTCGAGCGTGTGAGACTGTCATATGACTTCCTTAACAACTCGTGAGCACGTCTGTTTGCTTACTCGCTCTCTTCTGCTCCTGGTCAATGACTCTCTGTCTCTCTCTCTCTAGTGAAACAATATCCTCTGCCAAAAGCGTCATGTGATTGCAGCCTCAGCTCGGCTCCATATCAGCGATCTCCAGAGCCTCACCCGAACACACTAGACAGGCTGTTTATTATTCATCTGGCTGCACTGCGCAACAGCAGCAGCTTGAACCTGCAGTGGATTTTAAGGAGCATGCTTTACGTTTAGGAAGGTTTTTAATCATCACCCAACCACAGCAATATTTTACACATGCTGTGTGTTTTTATTATTCAGCAGGTTTCAGGTCAAAGCCATACTGAACCGACTGATAAATATCAAATGTTAAGCCACTGAATGAATGATACAGGGCTTACTTATTTATAATGTTGTACCATGTGGAACAATCAGTAATGACACTGACTTAAATTTCATGGCGCTTTAGTCAGGGTTCCTACAGGTTTTATGAAGGTAAATTTAAGACTTAAAGACAAAATGCGTGGAATAAATTGAACAGAACACAATAAATCATTGTGTTCTTAATTAGTTATATTAGCAACACTTCAGAGTTTAAACATTTAATTTCCAACTGATTTCCATTACTTTTTAATGCATAAAAAAAAAGGAGAAATTGAGAAAGAGATTAATTTTTACATTTAATACCAAAACTTTATGACTTTCTGCACTGATTTAAAACCTTTAAGGTCTTAATTTGTGGAAGGCTAAATTAAGATACGCAGAAATCCTGTTTGGTGCACAAAACATTTTGGAACGGTCATCAATTTTGCAACATCAACACTCTTCATGAGCTGAATTACTTATTATTTTCTCTCATCACATTCAGTCCAGACTGATTGGGGAAACACAGATCAGAATTCCCTTCACATTTCACATCGCAGGCAGATGACAAGAGCAGGTGTGGAAAATGCTGGTTTCTTTGGTGAACCGGCTTTTGCACTGCACCCCCGCAGCCTCATGACAGCTAATGACAAACAACTGGCAGACGTGACAGAGAGCTCGACACGCCTTCAGTCATGTGAATGTGAAAGAATGCTTACACACTCAGAGTCAGCTGATGCTATTATTACTGGAGATAAGGCCTCTGGTTCTCACAGCACTCACCGTGACCGGGGCATCTTCTGTGCTTCTCTTTCTGGCGTCCGAGTCGAAGAGGACGTTCCTGCCGCGCCGCTCACAGTCCTGGTAGACGATGAGACGGATCTGGCTGGACTCCAGCTCCGGTGACGACCAGCTGAGGGACAGAGACACGAACATGAGCTTAAAGGGATCGTTCTCCCAAAAATGAAAATTCTGTCATTAATTACTCACCCTCATATCATTCCAAATCCGTAAGACCTCTGTTCATCTTCGGAACACAAATTAAGATATTTTTGATTAATTCTGAGAGCTCTCTGACCCTCCCATAGACAGCAAGGATCCTAACATGATCAAGGTCCAGAAACGTAGCAAGGAAATCATTAAATTAATCCATGTGACATCAGCGGTTCAACCGTAATTTTACGAAGCTACGAGAATACTTTGTGTGCAAAGAAAACAAAAATAACGACTTAATTCAACAATTCGTCTCCTCTGCGTCACCCTATAGCGCCATTTTGGAGAGTATCACATACGTAAACAATGCATGCAATGTATGTATGCGGATATGCTGTTTACGAGGTTTACACTTTGATCTGAACGTAAACAACGTATCCACGTTGCATGCATTGTTTACGTATGTGATACTCTCCAAAATGGCGCTATAGGGTGACGCGGAGGAGATGAATTGTTGAATAAAGTTGTTATTTTTGTTTCCTTTGCACACAAAAAATATTCTCGTAGCTTCGTAAAATTACGGTTGAACCGCTGATGTCACATGGATTATTTTAACGATCTCCTTGCTACGTTTCTGAGCCTTGATTGTGTTAATTACATTGCGGTCTATGGAAGGGTCAGAGAGCTCTTAGAATTCATCAAAAATATCTTAATTTATGTTCCGAAGATGAACGAAGACCATTACGGGTTTGGAACAACATGAGGGTGAGTAATTAACCCTATAGCGCCATTTTGGAGAGTATCACATACGTAAACAATGCATGCAATGTATGTATGCGGATATGCTGTTTACGAGGTTTACACTTTGATCTGAACGTAAACAACGTATCCACGTTGCATGCATTGTTTACGTATATGATACTCTCCAAAATGGCGCTATAGGGTGACGCGGAGGAGATGAATTGTTGAATAAAGTTGTTATTTTTGTTTCCTTTGCACACAAAAAATATTCTCGTAGCTTCGTAAAATTACGGTTGAACCGCTGATGTCACATGGATTATTTTAACGATCTCCTTGCTACGTTTCTGAGCCTTGATTGTGTTAATTACATTGCGGTCTATGGAAGGGTCAGAGAGCTCTTAGAATTCATCAAAAATATCTTAATTTATGTTCCGAAGATGAACGAAGACCATTACGGGTTTGGAACAACATGAGGGTGAGTAATTAATGACTGAATTTTCATTTTTGAGTGAACTATCCCTTTAACTACAAGCTTCCTCATCCATCAGAAGCAGGAATGGCATGGTCACAAGTTATTTGTGTGCTCTGCGTCAAGGCAGGTGAAGAAAGGCCCAGAGCGCGCGGCTGTTTACTCGTCACATTCCCGACAACTGGACTCATTCGCCATCCAGACATGGAGCACATCATCCGCTTTATCAGGAATCGAGACAAACAAGTTGTGCACAAAGACAACATGACGCACAACCATCCCCTACAAAACATGAAAACTTAAATCACAACCATAAACCTCACAGCTGATCTAAAGAAAACTCACTTTTCTTTCATCCCATTCCTAGTCTTAAACTATGATCAAACGAGCCAATGCCGATAACCGATATCACACATGTAAATAATACTTGACTTGATTTTAGTTTATTGCCACATTAGCTTCACAGGCTATTTCATGGCAAACAAAGATTAGGCCTATACATTACAAAAACAATATTTTTCTGGGTCCATCTTATAAAACAAGTCCTTAAGAGTTTGCCCTGATAATAACCTTTGTCTCATGACTTCAAATATTGGGCAGACCAAAAGCACATGTTTCACTGTCAAGTGAGTCCCACAATATTTTTCCTCAAATAAATAAATTAAAACAATATGAATAGAGTGAAAACTGTACCCGACCCTGTGTCAGTAATTTAAATAATACCAGTAGCTAATACATTTTCTTATACTAGTTAGCTTGCAGTAATTATACACACAGTACTGTGAATAAGATATAATAATACCAGAGTAGGATTTACCAAAAAGTACTGTTCTCTCGCAGAAAAGTACTGATGCACACAAAAACCGTCATTCAACACCGATTAGTAGTAAATTAATGGTTGATCAGCAGCTGATATTTAGCATTTTATCGGTCGATAAGTGTTAAAATTTCTGCCCAAAATTAGCCTTAACATGTTAAACATTTTATCAGCCAATACGTTTTTTTTTCTGTTTGGTCATTAAGTGTTGGAGGCAGGACTTTTATTTTGTCCAGATGAACAGGAGTATTCTATGTCTTTATTCGTTTATGGTCTTTGTTTAACATTTTATTGGTCAACATGTTTTTCTGTCTGGCCATTAAGTTTTTTATTTTGTCAATGCATGGACTTTTATTTTGTCAAGATGAACAAGATTATTCTGTCTTTACTCATTTATGGTCTTTAATTAACATTTCTGTCCAAAATTATTAGAAATGTTAAACAAAGTAAATGACATGACAAGTATTATAGATTTTTATGTGCGATAATGCTTTCTCATATACTGTCGACGTTAAGCAAACATTTATATCATCTGAATACGTCTTTGAATATGCAATAATCATTTACAGAAATGCCAAACATTTTGGTAATTTTGTTAAAAAAAAAATGCAAAAAGGATGCAAACAGGAGAATTCAGCTATTACTGCACATGCATGAATGACTTCTATATTATGTGTGTGTGTGTGTGTGTGTGTGTGTGTATGTGCCATCAGCCACCCTCTCAATCAGAATCAGGCATTAAAAAAAACAAAGCTCAATTTAAAATGAGTAATTACTAAAACTGCTATTTTTTTCCCGACAGTAATGAGAATTATAATAGGTAACTGATATTTTCAGGGGGAGACAGGTGACATAGGTGACAAGACTTATTATACTACGGCTTTGCCTGTGCTCTTACCATTTAAAATTAAAGGCAACCACTGCATTTGACTCACGATTCCAAACAAAGATGCTGCGTACATTCTGCATTAGCAGTTTCTGATTTAAATTTGATTGTGTAATTTCGAAGTCTAACCTAAGGCCTGACCTTAGCTTTGTGAAACTATACTACATAAAACATCTGAATGAAACAAAAACAGCAGACTGACAATGAAAATGCTAATTTACTCTCTGATAGCAGGTGGCGCTTATTGAACGGCAGCGACACAGCGATTTCTTTGTTAATGCTGTAAACATAGCTATAAACACTACTTTAATATGCATTATGCAGAGACAAGATGAAAAGAAAAGAAAATACCATCTAAACTTTTCTGAAGACAGTCAGTTCCTCTTAGATAAATCCCCACAGCCAGTTGTATCACAATTCATTTTAACATCTCAACCGAATTCAATCGTTACATATTTCTAACGATTTTAACTGGCTGGTGGTGCATCAGTGCATCCTTTCTCACAAGATGCAACTAGGGCTGAAACGATTGGTCAACATTAAAATTGTCGACAAAAAAAAATTGTTGTTGAATAGTCGTTTGATCTACTTTGACCTAATTTAAGGGCCTGCAATAACGCAGTTTGGCCAGTGTGGCGCTGTAGCGGAAGACTGTAATTCAGCACTCCCAGATGCAATTCAAGAGAAGAATACGCACAGTGCTTAAGAGTCAGAGTGTAAACGCAGCCGTGTATGTGCTGCACGCTTTCCTCTCAATAACAAAATAAACATACAACAAAAATGACAGAGGTAAGAAAACAGCAGTTAAGAAAGCATCTAAACATAGCGATGTGGATTTATTTGCATGAGCTCTGCAAATTGGCACTCTAGTCGCGTCACGTTTATTTACATAGGCCTAGTACTTTATACAAAAGATTGATTTAAAGCTAGCGGCTTTACAGTATTAAACGTGTCAGTGACGCTTTCAGTTAGAATTACAACTTGATTTTCTGTTATAAATCAGCTATCCATTGTGGAGCAAACTTATGATAAAATCTTTTTATAAGTGAATGCAAAAATAAATAAACAAAAATGTTTGAAAAGCTGAAGTGCTTACCTTGTTTTATTCATTAGTTAGAATGTCTAACTCAGTATTTTCACTAATTGTAAAAGCTGAATAATAGAACAAATCATACTGATTATCCTATCTGTGAAATAATCGACGATTGGTCAATGAATCGTAACAATCGTTAGATTAATCTATTATCAAAATAATCGTTTGTTGCAGCTCTAGATGCAACTAACGATAATTTTTCACTAAAATATACTTTCAGCCACAGGATAATTTTGCAGATGAATTCATATGTTCGTCAGTGTGCACTAAACCACAACACAACAACAGCCAAAAAAAGATGTTTAAGGCAAAATACTTTGGAGTGAGAGCATTGCGATTTCACTGGGAACACAATCATTCTAACACAACTCCCTTGTGGGTGGTTTAAAAAGCCCCTCAAGTACACTGTCTCCACCTTGAAAACTAATCTGACTGTGCAAGAACCGGCTCTAGTACTGAACTCACTGTCCTACGAGTCCTGACCGGCACAACATACAACACCACAGTCACATGACGTACAGTAAAAGAATGACATCAATGAAGCACATCATTATGAATCACTCACCGAGTTATCGTCTCATCTCAAACTCTCGCTACCTGTCATGAGCACACAGAAACAGACGCTTGGGGACAGCAGCAATCCTTTAGTCACAAGAGGCTGAGTGCACATCAAATACACAAACCTAAAGCCTCATGACTTCAGCGGAATTGTGCAATTTTGGCAAAATTTGGATGAATAAATCATAAGTAGGGCAGTTCACAATATGGTCTATTGTCTGTGAATATTGAAGCACAGAAAGACTGCTGTAAATGTGAAGTCTGTATGTTGTGCGTGTCTCAGTTTGCTCTACTACACATCCTTAAGCTTGTGTGATGCTCGTCTGGATCTCAAAAGGGCCCTATGATTTCTGCAATGCAGTCTCACTAAATGAGGACATAAATACATGAACAACATCTCCAGAACTGCTCTGAGAGTCATTTCAAGACCATTTGACTGTTTCATTTGAGAAAAGCTACATACACACACAAACAAACAAAACTCTCAAGGCAACTCGTCAGAATAAAACTGAGGTTTAACTTGAAGAAACTGTGACAGAATATTACTACTACTTCTGTTAAAACTTAATTTTTAAGGAATAGTCACACCGATTTTCTTCCATGCTTTAATTGTAACAGTAAACCTCTGTTTAGACAAATTAGTTTGTTTAATATTCATTTGATTAAAAAATTTAATTGTTTTATGGCATCATTTGATTACCAGAAAAAGTAGAGTGCATTACTCAGAATTTCTGTTGAAAGAATAAATAATAGGTTTTGATTATTAAAATGGAATCCAGAACAATTTTAATTGAAAACACAGAATTTGGTAAAAAAATTTAATCAAATTAAACAGAATTTAAGAAAAATAAAATGATAAAAATAAAAATTACTATTTTACATTTTATTAAAAATGTTTTTTAAATATCAACATTTGTTGTTTTAATTTTAACATTAGATAAATCAATTAACTGATTAAAAAAATAATAATTAGCTGATTAATTGCTGCAGATGTTACAGTTGCATGAAACATTAGGCCTATATTTGTTTCCAAAAACGTGTCTGGGTATGGCTGAAGGTAATCACTGGCAGAGCACATAAAAGCTTTCGGGCTCAATCAAGAACGTTCAGTCCTGCCAAAGAACCAGAAATGTGAGCAGCCCTTTGGTTCTTCTGAGTAGGGTGTGTCTAGCTCTTCACAACAACATTTAAAGAAACAGGCCAACAAGACCACAGAGAATATCATTTCACCAAGTTTAATCTAACTACGGTTTCACATATTAACTGAATGAATTGCTCATATTCATCTGGATGCGTTCCTGGGAAGATTCTGCCTGTAGCGACCTCAAATGAAAACGGGAGACAAACATAAACACATACGAGGAGAGAGTGGTGTGGAGAAGACATAATACAGGATGAGAGGTCATAAGGTCACACGGCACACGCTCAAATACAGCTGCTGTCCTGAATCCTGATCTCACAGCATTCGATCACTTGTGTCGAGATAACATCAACATGTTCAACACTAGTGAATCATAAAACAACACTCAACTTACACCATACAGTAGTGTACATATTTTTAAAGGTTGGTCATATATTGGGCTTTTTAACAGCCTATGTGGATATCAATATAATTCAAGATTGTGGCTGAGTGCCAGATATACTCTAAATCAGCACAAATATTTGACATTGCCTTTATCAAGTTAACTGATATATATTAGACACTCTAACAATTGTATTTGTCCAATGGTGAGGATTGAGGAACCCATCGAACATGTGCATGTCAACCCAACAATGTCTATTATACCCTCCTTTACCTTGTTTCTTCATGCTTTTGTACTTAAAATAGAAAGACTGAAAAACACTTGTGCTCCTCTTTGTCAAAGTAGTCACCATTTAACGCTATCCTGATTTTCAATTGTGTTTATCAGTTCTTCCATTTTAAATTGTTCTCTTTTAGTTTTATTTCCATGTTAGTAAGTGTCTAACGATGTTTATATGTTCCCTGTCTCGCAATATAAAAAATGTCTACCACTGCGGTTCTCAAACAGGGGTCCGGGAACTGCTAGAGGCCACAAGACGGCTTAAAATGATTGAAAATAAGACAAAACAAGGTTTCAAATAAGCTAAAAATCAAGATGTAAGCATAAATCATATTTCTTATTTTAATTCAATCCCTTATCAACTACAATTTTTATTTAATTCATTTCTATTCTTGGACAACCTGGATACACTCTATGTGGGAATTTTTTTAAAGTGTCATTTCTAGATGCAGAAAGATCATGGAAATTGATACAAATAGTAGTTTCTTTTTTTTTTATGACAAATATCATATCCTATATTTTATCAAGCACAAATGACTATTTGTGAGTAAAATAACAATTAAAAAAAAAAAATACAAACTGAATATCATATTCTATAATATTTTATTAAAGGGGTCATATGATGCTTTTTTAAAGATCATTATTTTGTGTATTTGGTGTAACAGAATATGTTGACATGCTTTAATGTTCAAAAAACACATTATTTTTCAAATACTGTACATTATTGTAGGTCCTCTATGCCCCGCCT